AATCTTTATATTAACACATAATGACTTTCCAGCAGGAGCATGTTTCTATGCGGAAAATACTTCTTGTTTGTAGGAAAATATCTTTATGACTTTTTCATAATTAATTTCTGTTTTGTTAGCACCCTGTGACAATTCACAGAGGCACTAAGTAGAAATGTCACCATTGCGAAAGGAAGAGTAGGAATTTACAGGTGACTGTGAGTTTATTAACAGTGTAATGGGATGGCAGGAGTGCCATGTTCTTAAATTCTATTGGAGTTGCACACTCAGAAGCATATTCTCAGAGATATCTTCATACTACTTTTTGTTGATGATGATTTTATTGCAATAGTGTTTAGAAATGTTAATGATTGGTGTCCGGTCAGGTTATTGGCACAAATTCTCCTTGAGGTATATCTTGCCGATGGGATTATGGCAACTTGATAATGAAGCATAGTGTTTCTTATGTCATTAAATGAAAAAATTCTTCTGTGTCATTAAATTTGCAGTCTGTATCAATTTAAGTGTTTATCAACAGCCTGCTTGTTCAGCACTTCTTCTTGGTAGCGAGGCCTCTTGTCACTGTGCTTAGTTTGTGTAGGCTGCATCTTGGTTTCAAAGTGGTGTTCTCAAACTACTAGGTTTTCTCTAAAACTACTAGGCTTTTTATTTCATCAGGACTTGCCCATCTGAAATAGACACATATTTCTTCTCATGCTGTAGTATCATGGTTGGGCTTAAAGGATGCTAACTTATATTGATAAGATTTTTTGATTAAAAAGGGTATGGGTGTATAGGAAGATGAAGGTTTTCTTCAAGAGTGAATGAATGCTTTTCTCCCGAGGACTTAAAAGAGTATTATTCTCTTTTATTAACTTGGCATACTGCAACTTGTGGAGATTGGTAAGCATTAGCGTTGTGTAGAAGAATGTCTACTGATTTTTAAAGCCACTGAATGGAGAATGAGGAAAGAATAGAGGGGCAAAATCCTTCCGCTGTAGCCTCTAGTTTTGGCATCTATTAAGAGAATCAATAGGTATCACTTGTGTACAAGATCAGAACTTTGCTAAATTATGAAGGACTTAGCTCTCAGCAAAGTTTCAGATGTTTAAATCTGATGTTTGTTTGCATACAGGCTATTGTTTGGAGGCAAATCCACAACATGACATGTGACTAATATGCCTGTATATAGAATGTCTATATACCACATGCATATAGATATCTGTTTGTATAGATGATGTGTCTAAATGCCTGTTAAACTTATAGGAAAGCCATAATTCTACTCTGTCTGACTTTATGTAATGATGCCATGTAGCTTTTCTGATATTGAAAGTAGCTTTCCAGTAAGGGGGATGAAAAAGGGGAAGGTTGCAGTGGGGAGAGAGAGGAGGAGAGAGATTTCAGATTCTCAACCGAAACACATCTGTATGCTCTTTTTATTTTTAAACTATTAAAAAAAAATGAATTGACTTTTTAACCCACCTTTCTCATTCGGATTTCCAATAGACTCAAAATTGTGTATTTAGTTGAACTTCTTATTCATGAATATAGAAATAATTAATTATATCTGTGTTTGTTTTGTTTTTCAGGGACAATTTCATTGCTTCCACAACAAATCTACCTTGATTTAAGAAATTCTTATATAGACTGTGCATAAGTTAGTTTTTTTAGCTCTACGAAAAATATTTCATTACAAAAGGTAAGCATTCATGTATATGCCTTTTTGAATATCTATTCAGGGTGTTAAATCTCTCTGGTACTACTGGTTATGTGTCTTCTTTAAAAAGAAATATTTAATGATATACCTGTGTAATTGTTTTATCCACAGACTAGATAACATAAGCGGACTTTATTTTTAGATTGTTGTGGCTGCTACAATTATAAGGAGGAGATGACAAGAATGTGAATATGTGCTTAGTGGGAGGCAAGTTTTATTTTCCTAACTTGAGTAAACCATCTTTGTCCTAAGATAGTTTGATTAAGGGCATATTAAAAGATTTGGTCAGTTTACTTAAGTTTTACGTTAAGTTTTATGTTTTATGCATTTATATATGTTTTGAACTTCAAAGGTTCCTATTGAAGTTTTTATATATGAGCAAGTTTTTCCATGAAAAACAGAACTAGAGATCTATTTAATTTTTTACTTAATTTTATGGGTTTATATTCCCTCTTCCACTTTCCATCCTTGTGCTTTACAGGGTTCATTAGTTTTTTTTTATGTAATTATCAGCTGTAGTCCCTGGAGTGCCAGCTACTGATCAGCGTTCTGGTGAACTGGATGAAATGAGCAGATAATGCTGTTGGAACTCCATGTGTACATTTAATTTGCAGTCTAGAAAGACAGGTGAAATACTTGAAATCTAGATTCAGCTGCTATTTGTGAAAGAAAACTTGTTCCTGTTTTATCAGGATCTCATAAAGCTGTAGGAATGTAGTATATGCAAAATTTCTCCAGTGTTTAATCTTTCATACTTGTTGTATGTTATCCAGAAAGACAAGAAGTAAAATTGCTTGCTTATTTATGAAATGACAAAATTCTCACAGCTGTGTTGATGCAGAGATTTGAATTAAAACTATCATACTTAATTTTACTGCAATGTATATGTAAACTTGTATTTTGAAGTAATTCAATAGAAGTAATGAAGAGATTGTTTTTATAGCTATCTAGATTAGTAGTGTCATACTTTGAATAGGAAAGGTTAACATTTTGAATCTAGGAAGGTATATTGAAACAAGTTGAATTTAATCAATTTAGGTTTAGTCACTATGAATTTTTGGTTAATGTATCTAACTTTGCATAGGCTGTGTAACATTCTGCTGCATTTTTAATATTTATATATGACCAATACCAAGATATAAAATATTAAAACTTAATTTGTAGTTCCTATTAAATATTCAGTTGCATAATGTTTTCAAAATTGTTCTTAACGTTTAGAACTTATAATACAGAGAAACAGCTGGTTAAGGTTTTCATGTGCAATTTCAGAACCCTTATAATTATTTTTAATATTTTGTACAAAGAAATGTCAATTTTGTAATATATCAAGCAAATTCACTAATTCAATACATGTTACAAATGCAGAACTAAATAAAAAAAAGAATGAACATTGTGTAAATGAAGAAACTTATGCTTGGCTGTAGGCTTAAAGTCGAAAGAGAATTAAGATTCAATCTAAATGCACTATTATTCATGTCTGAGCAAATTTTTTAATATTTACATACATTTTTTATTTTTAAAGATAATATACTTCCATCATTAGGATATATTTCTGGTTTCTTTAAATATTAGAAGAGAACATTTTGAAACAAAATGTTGGCAAATTTTTCTTTGATATTATTCTAATGACATTCCCTTGAAATTTATTTTTTGTTATTGCATAATTATTAGTATGCTTTTTTACTGTTACTAAGTAAAAGAAGCAATTTTCTTCTTCTTGAAATACGACTTTTAACCTTCTTATGGAACAATCATTAAGCATATGGGTTACCAGAAACTTGATTCAAGTCCAAGCTTACGAATCCTAGCTTTCACTTCATTTATCTGGCTTTCAAGGAACTATAACACTTTTTAATCTGAAGAGTGAAGTAATTTATGAAAACCCTGAGTATAAATAATTATGCTTAAATACTTTAAAATTTAAAATCTCCATTAAACATAAATTTAGCTTAAACATCTTCATCCGTATATTTCAGAATATTTCAGAATATTTAAGGTTGGAAGGGACCTCTACAGATCATCTAGTCCAACCTTCCTGCTCAAGCAGGCACACCTACAGCATGTGGCACAGGGTGGCATCCAGGYGGGTTTTGAAGACCTCCMGAGDAGGAGACWCCACAASCTCCCTGGGCAGCCTGTTCCACTGCTCTGTTACCCTAACAGTAAAGAAGTTGCTCCTCACCTGGAGACGGAACTTCTTATGCTTCAGTTTGTGGCCATAATAGATAGATGCAATGTTGCTGTTCAGCTCCTGCCTACCTATGAGTAGCTAAGTGTTCCCCGGAGAGACTGATTTGGAGTTTAAAGTTACTTAAGTAGGATTTCAGCATTTACTTTACTATTTGTTTTTGTGACTTGAGAGAAATGAATTCAGTATGGTTCCGTAAAAATAATAACATCAGATTCTTCTCTGGAAACAAGAAATCAAATGATATATCAGCTTTAGGATTCTGCAACATGTCTGAGAATTTCTAATTATTGTTATTTTTTATAGTGAAATTCTGCAGATTCATGTGTTAGTGTAAGTTATTTTATTTGGAGTTTATTAACTAAATCATCTGTTTTTTTCTACACATTTTACTCCTAAGGTAAATTTCAGGCAAGAAGTGACCTAGGCTTGACTATCGTACAGTTTTGGTTGTTTATAAGAAACTACTCTCTAGGTTGATGCAGCATGTCTCGTACTTTTTTTTGTGTGTGTGGTGATTCCTGGGCTTGCAAAAGGATGGAAGGCATTATTACAGTTTTAGTTAAAAAAAGGCAAAATTATGAATAAGTAACTTTTAGTCATATGTATATCTTAAGTTTCATTATATAGTATTTTTTCTTCTATCAGATTTTTTCTAAAGGAAAATTTGTAAGGTGCTTGTAAAATTAATGCTGTACTTAAGGAGACTTGTCTCTCTGCAGTGGATATAGAAAGCATGCAGCTTTCACTACTTATGTCAAACATTTTAAGTTCTGTGTAAACACTTGTTAATTGCAATAAAAAGTTAAAATCAATTTTATGAGTATGTTCAGAACTTTTTCTGCGAATAAATATGTGACCTTTTGCAGAATAGATCAGTACTGTAGCATGACTGTAACATCAACCGATTGACAGTTGTTGAATGACCACATTGTTGATAAATAGTTAGATATTTTGTGTATGTATAATGTACTTATTCTGCTGTTATATAAAATATAATTATGTGTAGGTATGATTACATTAATTATAATTATATATATAAACTACATATAGTTATAATTTTATATCTAGTATATACACAAACACTTTCTTTTTTAATCTTAAGATATACAATCGCAGGAAGAAAACAAGGCAGGGAGGTGAGTATTTACTCTGTTAATGTATTGTTCCAGTTTATAAATAGTTGAGAAAAGAAAAATACAGGGAAAAATAAACATTTGTTTTTGCTTATTCAGTTTATTAACATTTATTGGCAATAAATGAGGTACAAATTAAGTAGAATTTCTAATAATTTTTTTTCCATTTCTTTTAGTTAAATAACTATGCTTTTTTCTCAAATTTTATCGTAACTATTCTGTAAAGTCTAGTAAAATTCTATTTAAAAAAAAAAATTCAACACAAGCACACACAATTTATTTAAAGCAAGGAAACTAAAAAAAGAGACTATTTCCATTATGTAAATAGTGCACATAATAATAAATGTCTGGATTTTCTTTTTCTCATCTTAAACAGCATGAAGTTACAGACAATCCTAAAGCATTTACTAGCCAAGAAGAACTGTTTGGATATTTGGTAAGTGTTCTGTAGCAGTGTAGTTTTTTTAAAAGCTTTGACAAAATTATTAAGTTCAAAAACCCTAGATGACCTAGCCAATGCCCTTTCCCAACTCCAGCCATGGATGGATGCCTCAGTCTCTGGCCTTGCCCTACCCCAGCCCTAAATCTAGGTGCCTGAGTCTCTTTTCCAGCCTCAACCCTGGATAAATCTGCCCTTAGCCAACCCCAGTCTTAGATCTCCCAATCTCTGCCCTTGACCACCTCCAACACCACCTGCCTTAGCTCTAGGTGCCCTAGTCCCAGATGACCCAGTTTCTGCCCTTGTCCAGGTCCGTAATCCTAACTCTAATTTAGGGTGCCTTTAGCTTTTCTTTTTTTTTGCTTTTGCCTTTGTCTTCGCCTGACTCTAACGCTATACGTGGATGTCTTTGCCCTTGCTATGCTAACCCAACCTTAACTCAGGATACGTTTGCCTTTCTTTTTCCCTTTCCAATAGCTGTAGTATTAGTCTTAGCCTCTGCATTAGCATTTGCTTTTGCTTAGAGATGGTTTATTTTTTGCCTTTGCGCCTTTGAAGTTGCATTTGTCTAAACTGAGATCCCTTTGCCTTTTTTGCCTTTGCTTTTGCTTTTACCTTTACCTTTGACTTCTTGCCCAGCTATTCTTAGATGCCTTTCACCTTTCATTTGCCTAAGCATATACTAATGCTAGATGGCTTTCCCTCTGCTTTTGCCTTTTTTTGTCTAATCTTAACACTGGTTTTCTTTGCATTTCCTTCTGCCTTTGCCTTTTTTTCCTCCAACTACATTTCCCTCTGCTTTTGCCTGACCCTAGTTACCTTTGCATTTCCCCCTTTAGAGGACAAAGTTAGCCTTTGCCTAACTTATGCTAAATGGCTTTGCCATGCCCTTTGCCTAACCCTAAGGTTTATACTAGGTGGCTTTTGCCGTTGTCTTTGCCTTTGCCAAATTCAAAACATAACCCTAACTCTAGATGCCTTTATCTTTTATCTTTGCCCTTTTTTTTTTTTTAATCTTTGCCTTTTGTCTAACCCTAGATGAGTTTTGCCCTAACCTCAGATGCCTAACTGTATGTCCAAGCTGAGACGACTTTTATTTTCCATATGTCGTTTTGCATTTGCTTTTTTTTTCCCCTTTAAATTAACCTTAGCCTTTCCCTTTGCTTTTACCATTGCTGTTATCTTACTCTTACCATCACCTTAACTCTAAGCCTCAACTTAATTTTAGGTTCCTTTGCCTTCCCTTTGCCTAGCCCTAACTGTAACCTTAAAGTTATATGTCTCTGTCTTTGCATTTAGCTTAACCTTTATCCTAATATTTACATTTACATTTTTACATTTACTTACATTTAGCTTAGCTTTTGCCTAACTCTGACAGCCCTCATCCTAACTGTAGATACCTTTGTCCTTGCCTAGCCCTATATCCAACCCTAGACCTGAGATACCTTAGCCTTTATGCCTTAGATACTTTTCTGTTTTTCTTTACCTTTGCAAAATGCTAAACCTAAACCTTGTTGCTTTTTCCTTGCCTTTGTGTTTGCCCAGTGCTAACCGTAACACTAGATGGCTTTTTTTTTTTTTTTTTTTTTTNTTTTTTTTTTTTTTTTTTTTTTGGCTGACCCTGAATCTGTTCATAGATGCCTCTGCCTTTGCATAAGCTGAACCCTATCCTTAGTTACCTTAACTTTCCCTTTCTATTTGCTGTGGCTCAAATTATTCCTCCTGCCCCTGCTCCATTCCTACCCCTAAGCCCCCAAGCCTAAGGCTTCACATATACCAATCCCCAATGCTTTGTCTATGCTGAACACTGACCCTAACCCTAATGCTTTGCTTATGCTGAACTCTAAGGCATCACCTATGCCTGACCCTAAACCCAACCCTAAGGCTTCATGTATGCCTAACCCTTGGCCTAACCCTGGGCCTGCCGCCAGACATGATCCTTTGCTTGACTCTAACCCTGATGCTTTGCCTATCAGTAACTTTGACCACAGCCCTAATGCTTTGCCTGATCTCAACCTGGATGCTTTGCTTAGGTCAGGCTGTGATGCTTTGCCTGTGCCAAACCGTGACCCCAACTCTGATGCTTTGCCCGATCCCAAACCCTGGCTCCAGCCCTGACATTTTACCTGATATGAACTTTGACTCTTTACTAAGCCCAATCAGGACCTCAGTAGTGGTGGTTCACCTGATTGCAACACTGACCCTTCACCTCTGCCAAACCCTCACCCCAACCTAAACACTTTGCCTATTCCTAACACTGACCCCCTTCCCTGATGCTTTGCCTGACCCCAGCCCTGGTGCTTGCCTTTGTCTCTCTCTTACTCCATCTAAGACACCTTCCATGACACCAGTCCTCACACTTTGCCTTATCCCAGCCTTTGTCTGAACCTTTGACTCCAACTCTTACTGCTGGCCTGAACAAAACCCCTGTACTTCGCGTAGTCACATCTTGCCTGAACCCAGCCCCAATGCTTTGCCTGATCGCAGTGCTGACACTTTTTCTGATGCTAACCCTGACTGCAAACATGTTTTGCCTTACTCCAATGGTGATGCATTTCCTATGCCTTGCCCTGACACTAGATGCTGTACTTGACCACAGCACTGACACTTTGCCTATGCCCAACATTGACCCCAGCCCCTTCATTTTACCTAAACAAAACCCTCATCCTTGCATTACCCTCACTCTGATGGTTTGTCTGACCTCAGCCCTGACCCCAACCCTAACATTTTGCCTGCTCCTAACCCTGACTCCAACCATGTTACCTTGCCTGATACCAAATGTGATGCTTTGTGTGACCCTCACCCCAGCCATGGCACTTTGCCTGACTCCAGCATTGGTGCTTTACCTAAGCCTAACCTGGACTTCAGCAGTGGTCATTTACCTACCACCAGGCCTGATGCTTTGCCTGAACCCTTACACTTTTCTGACCCCAAACTTGTTACTTTGCCTGTGCTCAACATTGATCCTGCCACTGTCTCTTTGTCTGATCACAATACTGATCCGAGCCCTGGTACTTTGTCTAACCCCAAGCTGGAGGTTTCACCCATGGCTGTCAATGACCCCAGTCCTGATGCATAGCCTATGCCTAACGGTGACCGCAATCCTGACGCTTTGCCTGAATATAATCCCAACTGTAACGATGACACTTTGCTTGACCTCATGACACTGACCCCTCAATCGTGACACTGCTTGGTCACAGCCTGTTCCAAATGGGTTCAGAATTTGGCAATGAAAGCACACGCACTCTGAGAAAAATCAACCCCTTGGTTTATGCAGGACAACTCATAGTAGTAACACACTCAAGCAAGATGACTACTTAGCAATTACCTCTGAAACAAGACACCTGTGTAGCAATTACTTACGAGAGCATATTGTCAGCAAGTATGCAACTTGATAGCGAGACTGATCATCCTCCCCGATGGATGAGAGGTGGCTGACAGGCTCCAAGCTAGCGGGCATCCCTGCAGAGACAACGTAGGTCTCAGTTGGAAGTCTCTTCCCGCCTCAGATCCATGATTATTTTTTATATCTGGCGCGTCCTGCCGCGTAGGGCCAATATGTGCCAGGAGGTGTACCAGAGGGTGGGTAAAGCTTCGCCTTTATCATTATGCAACTTTCCTTGGTGTGGGTATGCACGTCCACCAGTAGGGGTCTCTGGTCTCATTATGAGGGTCCTGCCTTCATCATTTTCCTCTCCCTGGCCTCAGGTTTGAGCTCCAAACTAGCTTAGAGGTCGGTTGTGTTTGAGTTGGTGGTATGCCTTCTGGCATGGCTGCCTCAAAAATTCTTCAGTTGCTCCTCACCACCAGATAAGGTCCCTGTTTTCGCAGCTGTGTACGCCTTCAAAACTCCCTACAACCAGATAACAGCTCAGTTCTCAGCTTCACAATAGTCTCATGGCCCCTACAGATCATAAACAGGGTTATGAATCTTTCCTCCTCTTATACACAGCCCCAACCCTAGTCCTAATAGTTTGCCTGACCTGGAGGTTTCACCTATAGCTAAGCATGACCCCCAGATTGATACTTTGCCTGATCCTAAACCTGCTGCTTTACCTATCGCTAATCCTGATCCTAAGTGTGACTCTTTGAGTCCAATGCTTTGCATGGCCCCAAGTGTAACACTCTGACTCCAACCCTGACACTTCGCCTCTCTCTACCCCTGATCCCAGCCATGATACTTTGATCTACCCTAACCTTGGCACTTTGCCTGCACCTAAACCTGATGCCAGTACAGACACTTTGCATGACGAAGCTGTTACACTTTGCCTGTGCTGAACACCAATCCTAATGTTTTGCATCATCCCGAGCATAACGCTTTTATTCACCCCAAGCTTAACACTTTTCCTATGCCTGAGAGGGATCACAAGCCTAATGCTTTAACAGCCCCCAAGCCTAACACTTTGCCTGACTCCAAGTCTTACCCTTTGCCCATACCTAACCCTGATCACAAGTTTGTCATACCTAACCCTAATCCCAAGCCTACTGCTTTGACTGTGCCTAACCCTAAGCCCAATCCTAACCCTTTGCATGTTCCCAAGCCTAATGCATTTTCTGATTCCAAGCCTCATGCTTTGATCACCTAACAGTGATCAAAAGCCTAATGCCTTTCCTATAAATAACTGTGACTTCAAGCATAGTGCTTTGCCTATGCCTAACTCTGACCTCAAGCCTAAAGCTTTTCCTGACCCCAAGCCTAACGCTTTGCCTGACTTGAAGCTTTATTCTTTTCTATGTCTAATCCTGACTGGAAGTGTAATATGTTTTCTGAACACAAGCCTTATATTTTGCCTATTACTAAACCTGATTGACCCAAAGCCTTAACACTTTGACTATGCCTAAACCTGACTCCAAGCCTAATGCTTTACCTGACCCAGGCCTAATGTTCTGCATCACCCCAATCCTTAAACTTTGCCTGATGTGAAACCTAATGCTTTGGCTATACCTAACCCTGATTCTAACCTCAGTGCTTTCCCATGCTTTACCCTGACCAAAAG